ACAGGATGCTGTTGCTGTTGGTTGTAAAAATCAGCAAATTTTCATTCTCTTTTAAGTAAAGTTAGAGCAAATTTGCTTCCAGTGGAAATCATATCATACCAGGCCCTTGATTTTTGCAACACTATTCAGAAATGATTTACTTTTATTGTCCAAGGCTACTATAAACAGAATTACTTTACATTCCCTAGAGGCAAACCATAATTCAATGACTCTTCATTCCTCTAAGCACTGGTGAGTAAAAATGGAATAGGTTCAAGGCACTGCTTTTTTTTTTTTGAACGGGCAGTTTGTCACTACTGTACCTACTGTAGGTACTAAACAGGGAAAACTGAAGAAAGAGATAAAGGTATGTAATGGCTTACAGAAACAAGACAAACAACTAAGAAACTGTATTATTAGCAGCAGGATGAAAAAGGTGAAAATAAGGTAATAATATATTCTTGATCTTATCCATCCATTTTCTGTCTTCTTCTTCCAATACAAGATTGCAGGGGGAGGCCAAGCCTATCCCAGCAAGCAGCAGACACAAGGCAGGGTACACCCTGGATGGGATGTCAGTCACAGAGCAGACACACTCACACCAGGCCCAGTTTTCCCAGAACCCAATCAAAATACTGTACCAATATGTTTGTGGACTGTGGGAGGAAACTACAAAACACCCAGCGAAAACCCACATTAACCCACAGAGAACATACAACTCCACGCAGATAGCACCCCAGGTGTAGGATTTACAGTAACTCAGGCCCCTAGCTCTGCAAGGCAACAATGCTTACCACTGCACCACTTTGCTGTTCGTTTGGTCTTATAATAAAATAAATTTAAAGAACCTATAGTATTATAGTATTGACGTAAACTGCCGTGTACTTAGTTAATGGCATTGCTTTCAAGAGTATAGAAGCAAAAAAAAACAGAATATTCATGAACCGAGGCACAAGCTGACAACTGCTAAACAGACTATATAATGTTTCCTGTTTCTTGAAGAAAGGAACAGATGGAAAGACGTGTGTGATCTAGACAAAATAAGTACATTTAAAAAAGATATTGTGCCCACAAGCTCACCATAGCCAGGTGCTGTTTAGAATGCTGTTCAGAAGCTCAAGCTTTTCTCACCATTGCTGTGAGAACTCATGATGTACAAAACATACATCCTCCTCATTCCATAGGGAGAGTTGCACAGAAATTCAGCAAATCTACAAAGGGCATGTAAATGGCACACTGTCATTTACCACACACCATCTCACAAGGAATATTGCGCATGGTGGATGCTGCAAAAGGTAGATTTCTATAATAAAGTCTCTCACACATACAGTATCTGTAGTTCTCGCCAATAAAGTTTTTTACAAGGCAGTATATGCTCTGTTCTGATCTGACTTGCTCCCCCTCTGTACTAGAACCAAGACTGAAGACTGTTCATGCTCAAGGCATGTTTGTTGTGTGTTGGTTTCATCAGTATGCAGGTCAAATAAAGGCGGAAATGTGCCTGCAAACAATTGAATGTGTGTCTTTTACTCTGCTGCTGAAAGGGTTTTGAAAAGTGTACTGGACAACCTTGTTAGCAAGAGAGCTTATACTTGTGTGTTTTCTGCAGCTGTATTTGAATCCTAACAATTTCTACCAAATGTGGCTCTAGTTACCAGAAAAGAGCATGTTTCAATAAAATATGGATGAAGCACAACCCCTTCTGCTCAAACAGAGGAAAAAACATGGTTGCATTTGTCTTTCCTGCTTTTGAGTATAACTAAAAGGTCTGTGCCTGGGAGGATGCTGACAGAAATAAAAGCTTTTGATAATAAGCTAAAAACATGCCTAGTCATTTTTCTGTATGAGCAACAGCTTATCTCTCTCCCACACAAGATTTACAAGAACCAGTCCTTGTACTGTATGTCCATTCATCTTCATTGTCTTTCTCAAGAAGCTAGAATCCATTTCTACATATAACATTATGATAATTACTGTAGTTGATTGGAGTCGTTTTAGTTATCTCATTCATTGCATGTACTGTACATGCTATGACAGATGTTTTGTGGGATATGAAAATGTTACGTTACAGCAGGGTCAGCAGGTGAACTGGGAGGAATGTTCAAAGGTTTCCTTTAGAGCAGAATGTACTTTTAATTTGCTGAAAGCCTTTGTAAGATTATATAATCAGCAATCAAGATAAACCTAAAATAGATATGAAAATGAAAAAATAAAATAAAATTGTTTCCCCCAAAGCTACAGTAAATGGAGCAAAATGTTCAGTGGAGCTGTCCTTATATGATGTACTGTAACACAGTTGTTTTATTGTATCATAGAAACAGTGGCAGATGTATTGAAAATCTTGTGAACACCTTATTATATTGGGTTTGAAATATGGTTCTCCTTGATAGGGCATCAATTTTTTACATTTTTTTTGTTTCATGTTATTGACTTTCATTTCACATACTGAACATATTGGGGGGATATTTAAACAGGTTTGTGGGTTCAGAATTGGCTTACAGGCCAAAAACTCATTTTCTATTTTTAGCAAATACTAGCAAATTCACAGGATCCTTTAAAAAATGACTACACAAGATGCTTGAATTAATTAACTAAAAACTGAATAAACAATATAGGTCAAATTTTGTCAGTTCATATATAGCCTTATTATTTATCATATATAAATGTGAGTTTGCCTACTTACAGTATACAGTATGTGTGTTTGGCATATTTTTGTTAGCATCTTTGCCTCAGCCTTTTAATTTCACATATCCTTCTTATTCTATTTATTTTAAATAGAAAGTTGTGCACAGCTTTCTGAGAGTCTTCTGGTTTTAATTTAATTTTAGGTATTTTGTTTATTAGGTTACATTCTAGAGTTGTTTTTTCCATCAAAAGATAAAAAGCAAGGGAGAGTTTCGCTTACATATAGTAGTGAAATTACATTTTTTTCAGTATGCTGGTCAGAGATATTCCAGTTTTGTGATTTTGTGAGTGACAACAATTGTCATTGTTTCTGCGCTCTGTAGTGATAAACACAGATGTTTGCCTGCTGGAGCTTCTCATCCATGAAGAACTGAAGTATTTCATTCCCATGAGTGTGATTTCAGAAAGTTTATAATACAATGTATAGGTTTGGGGAAAAAGTGGAAGGAAATAAAATGAGCTTTCATTTGGATTTACTTGTATCAAATGGTTAAATTTAATGGTTAAAAAATGATTAAATTTAACATTCAACAGTAATCTATAGATGTATTGAATTCCGTAATTTTGTAGTTGAGCTTCGTGTCTTTGTAAAATGCTGGCAATTAATACTTAAGTGAAAAGTTTCAATATTCCCTTGACATTAATGAGAAAAATGTGACATAAGAGATACAAAAAGAGATCTGAATTTAGAATTTGCATGAGACATGCAGTAGTTAAATTATTTGGATAGAACTCTTGTATTTGCTATGCTGGAAAAACATGTCCAAAATGTGCATTTTAAAAGCTTGTAATTTGGTTCATTAGCACTGCTTTTCCACCTTTTTAATTCTGTTCTAAAGCATTTCTGTTTTTGCTGAGCTATGTTTTTTTTTTAAATTAGAAAGACCAGTTAAGTTTTTGTAATCCTCTCAATTTGAATTTGAGAATTATGTGTGTGCAGTTATGTGTTTCCTAATCAAAACTAAGGGTCCTAAGATGAATGAAAAGAATTTGCATACATTACTTCTCCATCGTGCTGAGTTCCCAAAAGGTGTCTCTATTGTTTTCTGTTTTCTTTGATATTGTTGCATTTGATTGAACTTGAAATCACAAGCAAGTCAAGTGCGCTTTCATAATCAGATACCTTTGGGTCTTAGACCATGATCAAGGTTACAAATTAGAGGAGGCCATTTGGCCCATCTTGCTTGTTTGGTTGCTTGTGCATTGTTGATTTGAGTAACCATTTCAGCAATTTCTCAATGGAAGCCAGGATAGTAGATTCAACAATGTGTCTGTGTAGTTTGTTCTTGGCTTCCACAACCCCATATGTAAAGAAGTGCATCCAGTTCTTGAATGTTTTAATTGTCCTTTGTTCAGGGATAAAAAGATTCAGTCCTCTTAAAGCATCTGTGTAAGACATTCTTTGAAGACGGGGAATTATGTTTGCTGACCTTCTCTCAACTGATTCCAAAGCAGCAATGTCTTTTTCAAAATGTGTAGACCCCAATGTTACAGAAGCAGTCACCAATCTAGGTGGTTTTCTAATTCGTTTCTCACTCAATAACTTAATAAGCACCAATACAATTTGCAGGTTTGGAGGAAATTGTACTTTCCAGCTGAGATCCACTGCATATCCACACAGTTCCAGCTCTGCTTTGTAAGATTATGATCCCTACCATTGATGTGTACAACAAAATCTGACAAAAGCTCTGAAAACATGGCCCAAGCTACTCTGCGTGTTCAAGAAGATCACAGTTCTTAAATTTCTTTTTTAAATTTGAATTTTTATTTTAATCTTCACTGCCTAAAAGTGTCAATACAACACAAGGATAAGAAAAATATACTATTTTAATGGATGGTTTAAGCTCTCCTGTTTAGGCACTGAGCTCTATATATCAGGATAGATTCAAAATTTCTAGCTTAGAATCACTTTTTTATGGAGAAAAAAATCATTTCTAGGTTTTCTGGTAGTCTAGCTCTTTCTTTTGCTGTCAGTATGTCCCTTGGTCATGCAAGGGGAATGATTTTAATGACATCATTTTTTTGGTCATTCTAATTACATTCTAATTATATTTGAAGGTTTGATATTGTTTTTTGCAGTATTCACTATCAATATACAGTATATTGCATATACACATTCACTCATACACACATATACTATATGTATACTTATGGATTGTCCATCCTGATTATATTCTGCTCTGAGGAAACTGTGTGTTAAAAACGTATTTTTAGTAAATTCTGGGATACATTTATTACGGCTGCTAAATGATCCAAAGTAATTCAAATTTTCTTAAAACAGCACATACAACCTTTGACATGTCCAACTATCATGATGACTTTCCATTTTCTTTCAGATAACTGCCTTTGATGAGCTCCAAACGGACTTCAAGAACCCAATCGATCAGGGCAATCCCCTTCATGCGGTTTGTAAATTCAAGTATTAGTGCTGTTGCTTTGTTGTGCATCAGGGATATGCGCAGCAAATATGATTGTGGTTCAGGGAACTCTTTGATCTGTTTATGGAAATGTCAGTTGCCAGGTGTAATTCCCTAACGTGTCAGTATGCCTCCAATGATATGCAGTAGAAGTGAACAGCACATAAATATTTCAGGCTAACTTAAAAGTTGTAGTGTCATGATTAAGTCCTGACATTAAAATGTAATCATTAATAATGGAGATGCCAGATGTCTGATTCATTTTACTGAAAAGTATTGGTAGACTAGCTTAATTACTTTATAGCTAAAAGGATGCGATGTCCTTTCATTTAAAAAGTGTGAAGGGATAATTATACCCTCAGTCATTGCATTGTGAATTTCATCCCTCGGTGTAATTGTGTTTCTCCATTACTGAGATGCGCTGTTAGTGCCACCACTAAAACAAACATGGAGAATTTTGAAGACCCTGATGACCTTACCTTGTTCTTTCCTGACTTATCTAGGTAGTGTCCAATTAATTCACTGTTTCCCTGCATTACTGCTCATATGAGTGAGAGGGGTAAAGACAATTGTTGACACCCCATCCCACCACCTTCAATTAAATGCATTTCCTTTCCACATATACAACCTAATCAGCTGATACTGTCCATAGTCTGTTCACAGGAAGCCAGAGTTCACACTACAGGGATGCAGAGAGGCCGGCTATAAACACATTTAGTATAGCACTTCTCTTGCCGATTGGATTCAACTCACCAAGTGCTTTTTTCCAACTGGTTATATTTTGTAAAACATATGTTTATGCATTACTTCATGAACTTCGTTTAAATAGTTTTTTTTTAGTTTAAGACTCTATTCTACTTCCTATACACCTCCTAGGATATTTTTAGATGGTACATTTTTACAGCCTTAGAGGCCTTGATCAAACCAAGACTTACAGTATATATATGGCTATAGGCTCTCTTTGTTCGGTGTAATAATCATAGCATTTGGCACTTCTGCATAGATGTTCAGCGAGCAAGCTATTTTAGGATAAGAATATCCTTCAGCAAGTAACATCTCATACACAAATTAAACACAGATGGATTAAATGATAAACATACAAAATGAGGCTTGAAAGATGTGTCAGTATGATGCAGACATTTACAAATCCAGAGGACTGAACTCATGATTAAGATGTTATTCAGTATAAATGATTAGGATAACACAGTAATTGTTAAATTGTGTCACTGTGAAACCAGGAAAAAATTAACCTAGACTGACCTTTATTGGGAAATCATATAGTCCAGACAGTATAACCTAAGAGTCCATATTTTGAGTTTTTATTAAAAAAATGTCTGTTTTTAATATTCATAACAAATTATTTGTTTTGGTATTTTAAATAGAATCACATAATTTATTTTGAAAGCACAGTTGTTTTGCATTTGTACTGTTTTCAATTTTATCTCCATTTTATATCTGAAAAATACCATCAGAGAGTAGAGTAGAGCTATTACTAACACTACATTATTTAATTAAACTGAGATAGAAAACTATGTCATATCAATCACATTAATAAAAAATGACATTTGCTTATAACTTCTTCATTTACAAATTATTCACTATCACTTTCCTAGCCAAGGGCCCTGTTCTATGCAAGGAAATATATTGTGATCGCTAGTCATATTGTTGCCAAGTTACTCCAATGCAATTGCTCTGTAAAATAAATAATGGTTCACTAAGTGAACTAATTTCAAGTCCATTACATATGTTTCAAAAACCAATTCAAGGCATATTTAATGATGCATTTCATATTCAATGATGCATTTAATTTCTGCTTACTGCATTTATCACAAGCTTCATCACACTGAAACACGGGTCACAGTGTCTTGCAGTCACTTCTGAGAAGAATATTGCTGAAACTTTCTGTATTTATTGAAATAGTAAAAACCATTGACATAGCCATGATCCTGTGAACATCAAGTAAATTGGATGAACTGTTGAAATTGTTTGAGGTGATTGCACGACTTTATAACCATCTTGTATCCACAGTAGTACCCATTTTAAAATTGACTTTCACGCAATGATTGGCATAAGGACTAACTTCTTCCTGCTTTATTCTGCATTCACTTTATTTCTAATTTCATCTAACAGGGGACATGCATTCTGTACTGCCACATTCTTCATCTTCCCTCCACATCCTTAAAAATGATTTTAAATAAGGGAAATGTACTTCAGGAGAGAGAAAAGAAGCTTGTTTTCTTCAAAATAAGACTGAAAACTTTTTAGAAACTGAAATCTGTCTTCAATCTGCACCACAAAGGCTAAGACTAATATATGCAGCGGAGGGTTGTCATGTGTGAGGAACAGAGTGTCTTCTGGAGCTGCCTTTGGTTTAATCCAGTCCTCTTAGAAAAGTGCTTTTCTCAGTCTACAATTAAGTGTAATTAAATCTGTCTGCTTAACAATTAGAAAATGGTGAGAGAGAAACAGGGTCCTGTGTTTATAATTAACCTATGAGTCTGAATTCCCATGTGTGGTTCAGACTTTGAAAATTCAAGCTAGCCCATTTAAATACCATAATATTTTTTTCTACTCTCAGTTTTTTTTTTTTTAATTAACTTTAATATGCTACTTGTCAAGCATATCTCTTGCAAGCTAACGTTTCAAAGGAAAATTAGTCTAATTACATGGCATTAATCACTCTTGAATGCCTGTGCAGAATCAGCTGGTTATCTTGGGTACTACAACTTCGTACTGCCTTATTCAAACATAGAAATAGAAAATGAAAAACATACAAGTTGATGAAATATGGGTTAGTCAAACATTTCTACTTAAAACTTGAACATTGCAAGGGTCTAGTTACACAGTACATTTGGAATAACCATATTTCTGGCCACATCTGTTTTATTGGATATTAAGAATGAGCACCCGTACAGTAGCTGAGCTTGGTTGAGTACTTGGCAGTCACTCACAGCCATTTATCTTTTGACATGCTACAAGCCCCACAGTACAGGGCAACTGATGGAGACTGAAGCAGCGGGCACACCTCTTACTGATATCAAGTTCAAGCCTGCATGCCCCCTGCCCACGTAACACACCCACATCTTGGCAGCAGTCTGTCAATGGAGACCTGCCACTTCCAAATCCTAGTCACAGCTGGTTAGTGGCATGACATGGTTGGGACTAATGATGTTGGGCTATAGTGCGCAATCTAATGCCTTTGCTGGTTGAGCCACTCTGTTGCCCAGGTAAAGGTGTTGTGTCTAAGTAATTAAGCTCAGTTGAAGTAAGAACTAAGTAAGAAGGTTTTCAAAAGTTGTATACTGAAATGCATTAGGGTGACATAGTGGCACAGTGGGCCCTGATTTGAATTCCAGACCCGGGGTGCTATCTGTGTGGAGTTTGGAAATTAATAATAATAATAGCTTAAAGTTATATAGCACATTTCTGGACACTCCACTAAGAGCACTTTACAAGTAATGGGGACTCTCCTCCACCAATGTGCAGCATCCACCTCTTCCAGCAGCAACCTTAGTTTTTCCCAGGAAGTCTCCCATCCAGGTACTGACCAGGCTCACACCTGCTTAGCTTCAGTGGATTGCCAGTTGTGAGTTGCAGAGTGATATGACTACTGACAAACATTGGAAGTTCTCCAGGTGTGTGAGAGAGTTTCCTCCATGTTCTCTGGTTTCCACTCACAGTCCAAAAACATACTAATACTGTAGGTTAATTAGCTTCTGGGAAAACTGGCCCTGGTCTGTGTTTGCGTCTGTCTGCCCCATGATGGACTGGTGTCCCATCCAGGGTGTACCTTGCCTTGCGCCCATTGCTTGCCATTGCTGACTCCTCTGCATTTCTGAATTAGAAGAAGCGGATAGAAAATGGATGGATGAAAAACATTAAAAATGTAACACATGCTATTTTTTCAAATACATGTTACTGCCTTTTAAATGCCTTTTAGTATATTATGGATGAAGTTCTGATTGTTTGGTTATTACAACTCCCATGGCCACATTAGTAATAGTAGTGTGGTTAAACCCCAGTGTCCTGATTAAATTCCTCTAAGGCTTGCACAATGGTATCTACCTAAATCTTTGTTTTTATTCAGTTTGTTGAAGCAAACGTCTAACTTGTCTGTCTGATTTAGTGTGTAGTGGGACTTCTGGTGTAAGATGTCTATTACTCATCATCCAGGCAGGTGCTGCTCTTTAGTGAATGAGTGAGTCATGAAGCACAACATACTCTGGAAAAAAAATTGATATAAATGCCAGGAATTGTTCTTCATTTAATCGTTTTTATATTAATTCTGTAAGAGTGCAATATTTATTAAGGTGGTATGACAAACCATGACTCTGTTGTTACTTAAACAATACTTCTTGTAGTATACAAGTTTCTATCATTCACAATTTTTTATTCTGTTCAAGAAAAGTAGTTTTGTCCTACGGTCGCTATTAGCTATATTATTTTTTTCTGTGGAATCCAGGCTAATAATAACCTGGCCTGGATTTGCTTCTAAAATAAAAAGCAGTTAACACAGCTGGAAACAAGTACTGTAAATGAACTGTAGGAAATAGTTATCACTTTTGTCAAATCATATCTGATCAGTGTTTTTACAGATTTATGATTTATGCCAGTGAAAAGGTCATTTATATACTAGACTTCTGAAAAGGCAACGAACACTGGCATTTCTATTTAGTGCTGAGGATGGAACATTTACAACTACAGCAGTTAAGACTTTGGTAAAATGCCATGCTCATTCCTTAAGGTTCAATACTCATATCTAGCATCTTTTCCTAATTGCTATCTCAATTATAGCTCTGCATGAAAAGCGTGGGAACAGATGTCTGCTTTGTGGTGATATTTTTCTGAGCTGTTTTTTCTCACCCATGTTGAGTCTTAAGGGATTTAACAAATTATCTTCCCTCCGTTTCCACAGCGCGAAAGGCTCAGAAACATTGAGAGGATATGCTTCCTTCTGAGAAAGGTAATCATGCTTTCCTTTCTTACCATTGCATTAAGTTTGCAAACAAGCATTTTCGCATTACAATCACATTTCAACACTTCTAATTTTAAAAATAACTTTTTTTTTCTGTAGTGTGTAGTTTTTACAAGTGAGATGACATTGTTTGTAAACCTGTATATTGTAAAGTATGGTTGTCCCCTTTTGCAATTTTTGTTGTTGTTCTGAATCATTCAACTCCTTTAATTACCTGTATATGTCCTTATAAAATATAAATGACTTAAAAGTACTGTTTTTTAATATACCCACATTACAAATCATTATATGATTGTCCATAAACATGTGGAATTATTTTTCAAGGGTGCTATAATTGTTTCTTTAAATGTTTTAGTTAAAAAAGTTCTATTATAGTTTTCTTTTGAAGTAGATGGGTTTTTGTGTGTGTTTTTTTTTGTTTTGCTGTTTACTAAAATCATCACCACTCTATAAAATTGTTGTTTCTAAGCAATGACTGCAATGAAGGTTCTTCTTATTATGGAATTCTTTTGGTCAAGTGTAAGAAGCATTGCATCATGATAGTATTCACAATGGAGAGATGAAAGGATACCAGGTATCCTTTGTGAAGGACAAAGTGTGTCATTTGTGCAAAGTGACCTGTTATGAAACACGGATCTGAATATTCATAGCAGTGACATGCACAGATCCCACCTATCAAGGGAAAGGCAAGAAAAGGAACTGACCATATGGTTCTATTGGGATTGTTGGTATAAGGTGACATTTAAATTCCTATAGCAGCTGTTTCCTTTGCTTCTAAAAGTGCAGGGGTGGTGGTGGATTTGGACTGGGGATTAAAATCACAGTTTTCAAACTGCATAGTTTAAAATGGAAAACATCTGCTCTGCATCACTGCCTTCCCCACACAGGTAAACGGTGTAGGAAACTGCAGTTGCACTAGAACAATCAATCAAATATTAATGAAATCAAAAGTGTATTTCAGGCTTTAAACCCTTTTGCCTGCCATTCAAAAACATTAAAGCTTATTGCATCTCATGCGTTAAAAACATACAAATGTCTTGTAATTTCAACAAAACACTATAGTCTTGATTTTTCAACAAGCTAACATACAGTATACTGTATAGTGAAAGAAGTCACAGTCTTAGTCTTTACTTTTCTCTCTTCGGGTGGCTCAGGATAGAAAAGCTCAGGCTACTTCGTTTGCCACAAGTTTTCTATCATGTGATCTAGTACCTGTGGTTTTACTATCCTACCTTTCTCTATACAGTCATTGGTCCCCAGGGCTCAAGGTTCTCATTCTATATTTAGACGAACTCATTGCCAGGGGCTCATCAGGCATCCTGTTCCATATCATTGTCTGGGGACTCCACTGTGCCCTGTGGGAGTGGTTTCTGTGACTTTCTTTCTGAAAGGATCTTTTGCAGTCTTCAGGAGTCTGGGGATAACTGATATGACTAATCTCAAAGGGCAGCGATTAAAGTGAAACCTTAACATGGGAAGGAAGAGGGCAGTTTCTGACCTTTTTTGTTTGAAAGGAGAGCATTCACGTTGTCATCTGCTCACAGGTCTTTGGCCCGTGGGCTGCATGCTCCCCTTGGAGATGTAAAATGTATACCCAATGGTATTCCCACAATTTGAAAGAAATATCTGCTTTACTAGCGCTTGAGAGAATTTCAAAATGGCTCATCCAATGGCTCATGCTTCTGATTTTGCAATTTCCTGCTAATTGGCCTTTGATGCTGTATTGTATCAGTGACCCTCAGTTTAGGAAGCACTGCTGATTTAGAGTAAGTCGTGAGACTATTGCTCGCAGGTACAGTACATCATCTCGATTTAGATAAAAAATGACAGTAAGCTTATATATAGGATTTTAAATAAATCTAGAATTGTTGGTGAAAATTCTCACAGCCATCATATGAATAGGAAGTTTTGAAAGAGCCATCTGTTCTGCTTTAAAATGTGTGACTTATTGTTTATACTCTAAAACTTACATTAAGCGCTCACCACAAAAATCACAGCATCAGTCTGGTGGCTTTTTAATCTATGTGCATACAGAAAATGTTGGATTATCATAAGCAATGATAAGCAAATCTCAGAGGCAGCCCTTTCAATGAGTAAAGACATGAATTTCTGGATTGAAAAGAAAAGCACATAACAGCATCATCAAAAACCAATATAACTAAGCACTGATAAGAAATTCTGGCATTACCTAAGCATGATTATTATCCTTGAAGTTGGAATTGCCTAGCATTTTCACCAGTTAAGTAATCACAGATTATGTAAAATAAGAACCTTTTAAACCTAAACAGAAGCTTTTGAGATTTTTTTTTCTTCTAAACTCAGTGGCAATTGACAGTTCCTACAATGCAGTTCTAATGAATATTAATCATTGGCTATTCGATGTCTTTTTTTTTTACTCTTTAAAATCCTGGAGAGATATATTGAACATTTTTTCTGCACTAATTTCTTTAAAGCCCTACCGCTATTAAATTACAATGACAAGTTCTTAAAACTTTACAGTCAGAGTTGACAAAGCTTTGAATGTTTACTTATTATTAACATGAATACAATTTCCAATGTAAAACAGTAACAGAGAAAATGCACCTTGGAATAAATTCAATCATCACAGAGCCACGCTATATCTTCAGTCATTATTTTATATGCTTATTATTAAAATCAGTAAAAGTACACCTAAAACTGTTTTTTTGATTGCTGTGATATGGGAGCTGAAAAGACAGATACATTTTAATCATTTTAAAGCAATGAACTACACAGTAACTACACAGTAAGCTAAGTGCAAGATGCATTATGTTTGACCATTATAAGCTAATGTAATAATAATAATTGCTTACACTTATATAGCACTTTTCTGAACACTCCACTCCCACATGGACTGCAGGGTGAGAGCCCCCTGCTGGCCCCATTAACACCTCTTCCAGCAGCAACCTTAGTTTTTCCCAGGACCTTTCCCATCCAGGTACTGACCAGGCTCACACCTGCTTATCTTCAGTGGGTTGCCAGTTGTGAGTTGCAGAGTGATATGGCATAGTATGTACAGGAATATACAGTATTACAGTAAGATTGAATCCAAGTACATACCAGAACTACAAATGTAGTATTCTACAATAAAATATAATCAAACATACTATAATAAACTGAATCCAATGTGCTTATAATCGGATACTTTTGGAAGAAAAGTGCTGACATTTGGTTTTGTTTTCAATTTAAATAAATACTGTGGGGTGTATAGGGGCTGTCTTAATAACATTTCAAATATTCCATTTCAAAGACCTTCAGAAGACTGACAGAAAGAGTAATTCATGCTGTCAACAAAAGTTTAGTGAGTGAGGAACATAGGGGCACAAAAAAGGCAAGAGACAGGTGAACTAATAGAGTGCATTAATAAATATATAATTAAAAGATAAGAAGGAGAAACTAAATGCAGTCAGATCACTTAGGGAAGAGCACAAACTATAGGAGTTGTACAGTACAGGGGAACTGTCATGCCCTCTGCAGCCAGAGGGCGCTCCTACTCTGTCCTGTCCCTAGTTTCCTGTGCTTTGCTGTCCTTCCAGTGTCTCTCCCTCTGGGGCTATATATTTCCGGGTCTCTCATTCACCTTCGCTCAGCATTGATGTTCGGATGTCCCAAGACCCGCCTAGCACCAGGTCTCCCCATGTCCGCTACCTGAGGGAAAAGGTTTCTATACGGTATTTCCTGAACAGCTGAGCCCGGGCTAACCCCCGTCTCGCCTCTACACATAGGGTCTTTTTTTCACTCTCCTTCCTCTCCACGGTTCGTCCCTTCTGACATCCGTGATGAGAACAAAAGCAGAGAAAGAAAGCAGACGAATTTTTGATTGGGCAGTCAAGAGTCACACCAATGTCCTCAGAAGCAGGAGAAAGAGAACTACTAATAAAATCAAGATACATGTGCCCTGTTTTCAATTCCAGACCTGAGGTGCTATCTTCCTGGAGTTTGTATGTTCTCCCTGTGTTTGTCTTCCTATACTGCTGTACTGGAAAATTGACCCAGGTGTGTCTGTGTTCGTGTTTGTGTCTGTGTGTCTGCCCTGTGACAGACTGCCTCTTGTCCTGGATATACCGTGTTTTCTGCCCATTGTGATAGGCTCTGAATTCCCCAGAAAACACTGAATTGGAGGAAATGGTTAGAAAATGGATGGATGGAGATAGAGAAAGGGAAAAGAGCATCAACAGCATAGTATAAGCCATGGAGGGACAGATATCGAGAAAGAAGGGACACCAGTTCAAATCTATGGGAAGCCTGAAGAGAGAGGAGGAGATAGGAAAAAAACAGCCATAATAATTATAAAAATAATAAGTAAATGATTAAAAACAATTACTGGGGAGAAAGGATGGTGGTGTGGTCAAAGCTGTCAAAACAACAGAGAGAAATATTTAAGAGAGGAGAATATAAATATAAAGTCAATTCATGTGGTGAATTAGCAAGTAGGTTAATTAGGGAGCAAGACAGTTTCTATAGAGTCTGCAGAATGGGAAGGGTCAAGCAGGGAGCATTGGTAATAGATTATTCAGTCAAGAACTTCAGGTAGGAAAAAGTGTTAGAGCACTACTCTTCAAAGGTATTCTCTCTAACTGCAGGAACAACAGGAAAATTTCAATTTCACCTTCATGGCTTTTCTCAGAGGTGCTTTGTTTTCACATTAATGTTGTATAGAGTATATACAGTATGCAGTCCTGTTTAGTAAAAGCTTGTTGTTTGGTAATCTGCTTGTCAAGGTGAATGTTTCTTAGAGACTTAGCAACCCTAGTTTGACAGAATGGAGCTATTCCCTGTGATTGTCTTAGACTGTTTCATTTATTCTTCAAACGAGAAGGGTGATATTTGATGTTGCAGTGCAAAAGCATCTGCCTTGGTATCACACCATGTCCTTTCACATGACATTTTAAACACATTCATGAAAAACAAACAGAAAAAGGACACTTCCTTTGGAGGTATCTTTGATCCTATCCTAGTGGATCGAGAGA